GAAAATAGGAGTTGGCCGAAGCGCGGTAGGGCGCATTTACATGATATGAATATAATGGAGAGGGCTGGGTCGTCGGTGAACTCGGGCTACACGAGAGAACGCTACCTGTTGAACGAAGAGTCCGGGTATCACCGGTGACCCACAGGATGTGCCCGGGATCGTCAACAGCCTCGTTGTCGGTTAGTAACGGATCATCCCGCAGACTCCGGTTCCTTATCGAATGACGGGCGAACGATCACGAAAATAATTTCGGTCTTAATTTCGCGCTCAAGCATATATGATTGTATATATCAATTAGACGTAATAAGAATTTTCATGAAATATAAAAGTTAAAAATACATGAAAAATTTGATACTTTACTATATATCTATATACCCAGAAATTATTTCTGAAGCTGAAACAATTTTAGAGCTAAAATAATTATAATCTCTTGAAAGCGAGATAACCATTGAGAATTGAAAGTTTCTCACGCAGCAGTTATTAATTTTGTTTCACGATGTAATTTGATGCTGGAAATGTTTTGACGTAAATTTTGCTTGTCGATGGGTTTTGCATCCTATCGCGAATAATTTTTCGCGGCGTGCAGTTTCTTATTTTCGCACCAATATAATTATTGCCGCTCATAGGTATACACGATATACCGCTTGTACACATAACGAGATAACGTCTTTCCTCGGCTCTCAAATTAAATAGGATACGTTTCCACGAGTAATATGTGTGCAGGCGTTTATTTACGTTTCGTTCCTCACGCATCCCATCTGCCTAATTAAGGGTTATCCGAGGATGTCTAATAGAATCCCAGCGTGCTATTGCGTTGCCCACGCTCTCTCGAGAGCTTCGACAACCAACACGAAATCCTGTATGCTATAAATATGCATGGGATAAAGCGCGCGCGTGCCCGATCCGACGAAAAAACTCCGAAGGGATCGCTCTCTTCCTTTTCCGTAATTCTGTAATGACGATCATATTCCATCCCTTCAATGTTTCGCGCGCGAGTAGAATCCCGATTAGTCATTCAGTTTGTGCGTTTATATTCTCTCTGAGAATTTTTCGACGAGAGTCGCGCTAAGGAGAAGCGAAGTAGCAAGAACGAGACACCATATAATAGACCACAGTCGCTTCCAACAATTATTACAGCCCGAAGACTGGCGTAATTCCTTACGGTTCCGCGATTTCGCAACCGGATTCACGCCCACGTGCCCGATATTATTTCCCGTTTTTTTCCATTACGAGCCCAACTATTCCGCGATCCCCGAGATTGCAATTTTGCTGGCGGCAGGCCGGGTTGCATCTCAGGAGACGCGAGACGAGCTGCCTCGTAAAAATCGCTCTCGCGACCCCGGAGCCAGAGGTCGGAAGTGAGGGACAGCGGGGTGGACGTGGGGGGTGCGAAACGCGAAGGGAAGGAAATGAGCGTGGTACAAGAGAGAGAGAGAGAGAAAGAACGGGAGAAGGAAAGAGTATCGCGGAGGCAATATAAAGGGGCAATAAAATCACGACGTCCGACAATACGAGCGGTCTTAGCCCACCGCCTTCACCTTATTCTCGTTTCTCTCTTCTCTCTCTCTCTCTCTCTTTCTCTTCACTAATCCAGTCGGCATCCCGGGGATGTACAACCTAGGTCAATTTTATTTGCCGTGCGTTCGGGCTTCGTATAGACTGGCAACTCCGATGTGAAAGTTTGAAATCTCAACTTTACGAGAGGCGCGCAACGGCGGAGTCCATCGGGAAATCGAGACCTCCATCAGAGTTCGATTGCGAGAAAATTTGGAAAAAAAGAGCGCAACCACTCTCGGCAACTTCGCATTCGTGTTTGTGAAACAGATTTACATCCGGAGCGTCGCGAAAACGATTAAAACGAAGCGGTTGACTATATTCCTGAGAAATCGAAACGCGAAGTGAACCAACGAACTCGGCGGGAAAAGTTCGGCAGGATAACATCCTAAACTTTCTTAAACTCATTTTCGCGTTTGATATCGATGTATGTGAAAGGAAATCTTAAGGACGTTATAGCTGAGGAATTGAAGACGACATGTATAGAGACGTTTCCGCAATATTTTCGATTACGATAAACGCGACGCAATGCTTTAAAAACATTATTAATTTATTTTTTAAACCCGACTGTCTGTATAAATTTTCTCTCTATTGTTATACAATTTAATAGTCGCTATGTTTTTTCGGTATATTAGTCGTTTTATGAATACTAAGTTTATCTTTACTAACAAAAATTCAATTAAATTTTAATATATTGAGAAATGCAAATTAATAATTGACGCAAAAACAGGATAATAATAGTACAGAAGTTGATATTAGACTTCAATGAGAAATACAATAAAGATGCAGCTAATTTTAAAATTTAATTAACATAATAAAAAATGAATAATAAGACATCGATCAATGCACTCGTGGAACACGATTAATTTCAATTCCCGTCGCAACTTCCTACGAGACGGTAACCGTCTTTTCTAAGGAATTGTTAAGGAGTAAAAGGTAAGAGGTATTGAGAAGAGACCGTTCCGTGGAGGACAGGCGTCACTACACTGACAAGAGTGCATTGAAATCATTGGAACACAAGACACGATCGCTCAGGCGCCCGCTATACCCTATTATACGTTAATGATGGGTTAGCTAACTGACTTGTAATAGTACAGGCTGTACATAACAATTTTCTGCATACACGTATATATAATATTCACGAGCGTTTTGTTTAGAAAAATACTGCAAAAATAAAAAAAAAGTTTTTTTCGAAAAATTGACAAGTCTGTTGGGAAAAAAGAAAGAAACGCGAGGGCGCGAAATCCTATTTCAACAATATTGTTCCGGCATTCGTTTATTTAATAACAATGCCCATGTCCGGTGTAAAAGGAAAAGAATATTTTTATATAAAAAACGGAAAATGTTTCAATAGACATATCGAAAGTTTGATAATCTGTATTTGAAAGGATAAAAAAAAAATAGATGCGGTATAGGTATGCAATATTCACTTTTGATGAAATTTAATTGGGAGAGTACGGAAGATTTAATCGAGATAAAAGGCCAAACCATATACATTACACGTACTCGATACAGTCGTGTCGTATTGAATCGTCCTTAAATCCTCATTGGATACCCTTCATTGATTAGCCAGCGTCATTACTTTGACCGAAACATCATTAAAACTCGCATAAGCCTAAGCCGCCGCGATCGCGCTGAAAGCCCAGGCTTAATATATATGCATGAACAGCCGAATATCCGAATAATAACAGTCCCATTCGCTTTGAATCATTTGCCAGTCCCAAAGTCCGGCACTCTCCCCATCATCTCGTCCAGAAAACTTTCGATTTTCAGCGTACATACATACGCTATTAAGCGCACTTCGTAATTAGTCCCCGCTAATAACTCATAGATTCACGCACTTTACACGTGCACACATACGCAAAGAGCTAATGAGAACAAGAGGGAATGTGAAAGAGAGGAGGCAAAGGATGGAGACAGGAGTACGAGCAGGCAGTCCCAAGAATGCCATTGTGCTTTACAATATCCACGAGCTATGAGCAAGGTTATTAAAGGGCTGAGGTTAAGGTTAAGGGGAAAAGACGGCTGCGGCTGCGGAACCTTTGGATAGATAAAGAGAGAAAGAGAGAATAAGAGCTTTCTCCTCGCGCATAAAACCGCGTGCGATTTACGCTCACTCGCGCAAGCTACGTATTTTCATATGGGTATGTCGAAAATATGCGGGTCGAGATCAAAGCTTAAGACCGATCTAACTGGAAAGGATACTCTCTGTAATGATGGTTAACGCGATACAAAATACGCCTCGTAAGATCAACTTTGTCGAGAATTGGGCTTTTGCACTTTCCATTTAGTAGCGGAACGAAGAATTAAACAATCCGTGAGGATTTAAAACCGAGTGTGTTATTCTACAGCTAACTGCGCTCGCATAATCGTGCGATTACCTCCGTTAAAACACGGGAAACCGGTGCTCGAAATGAGTAAGAGCGTAAATAGTAACATGTGAGATAATAGGATTATCTTATTTGATGTGAAGCGAAAATGTAAGCTTTTCGAGCGAAGGAAAGTTTGATTATTAGATTGCTCCAATTATTTAGCAACGCATTGCAATTTTTTTGTCAATTCGAATTAAATTTAAAGATAAGTCGACTGAAATAATTTAGAGTTTCCAGATAACGAGTAACATAGAGCAAACAAGCTATCGATTCGCGTAATAAATAATACTTTTGCAAGCAATGCTATATGATTGCATTCACGCTCCAAGAAGCAGGTCTGCTTGATAACGATGAAAAATGTCCGGCACTCGACTTTTTACATTTAGTAGTAGCGTAGATACGCGCTAACGGAATGCGAGCTCTGTACACGCGGTTACGATCTTGTAAATTGGTTGCTTCGCGAGCACGACGTAAGAGAGTATAAATTTCTCCGAACGAATAAAAATCGTGTAATAGCCGCAATAAACTTTCACAGTATTCAAACTTATAAATAAAATTATCCTTTTTTCCGTTCTTATTTATTAGTCATTAATCATCGATATATGCTGCAATAATGTCTCGAAAAATTCATGGCATTTAAAAAGAATTAGAATTAATCAGACAAGCTAACATTCAACTAAGAACTTTTCGTTCTAAAGGTCTTTCGAATATGCAATATTAAAAACGAATGTTTACGCAATTCGTTTCATTTCTGTGCTTTAAAAGCACAATCGTTTTCTTTAAGGCACTCAAGAAAAAGAAAATGCAATAAAATTTAATTGACGTTGAAAAAAGTTACGAATCGTCAAAAAAAAACTGAGATTAAAATTACTTGTGCGAATAAATGATTGAACCCCCTAGCTTCTGTAAAATGATCGAAATCCAATCGAATATTGTAGATCGAAATATTGTAGATTTTTCTTGAAAATCCCATCTTCGTAAAATAAATAAAGATCTATGCTCCAGAAAAGTTGAAGCGTCGCCGCACCAGCAGGTGCGTCGTCAGCATATTTGTTAAATTGAGTGAACACTGACCTTGCGAAGAACGCTGCGGCTGCGCTGGCCTGCGCCGGCGTCCCGGGTACTCCGCTCACGTTGTACGAGTACTTGGTCTCCTGGTACACCTGATACGCGCTCGGCGGTTTCGAATGCGATGATCTATGGTAGTAGTGATCACCGCTGTGGTGACTCTTCTCCGACTGTTGCTTGCCCAGGCCGTAACCTTGGACCGCGGACGCGGGCAGCATCTTGCCGTGACACTTGTCGCCCTTCTCGCACGAGGTGGCGCGTGGAGAAGATGCGACTTCTCGTGCGCGGACACCTTGTCGACGGCGCCGTAAACCTTAAAGTCCGCGTAACCCTTCAGCTCGCCGTAATAACGCAGGTTCTCGACCTTGTAACCATGCCCGACATCGTGGCTCTTGGCCTTGCTGACCTCGTGCTTGTTGTAGCCGGCCTCCTGCGAGGCCGGCTTCATCCTTTCAGCACCACTACACTTGGCGACCGCTGCGGATTCCCCGGTACCACCGTGTAAAGCGGCCTTACCCGACAGCTTCTCGATCTTCAGCATCGATCTCTCGCTCGGACGACCTTGAATCGCGTCACCGCTACTGCCCCGATTCGACTCTGACCCGGTGTCCTTGTACTTGTCGCACGTCGTTACCTCGCCGCACGAACCGTCGCCGCTAACGTTCGAGAAAACATTACCGACGATCACTCCGCTAGCAATATTGCTCCCGCGAGTCTGATGCTGCTGCTGTTGCTGTTGCTGCTGCTGATGATGATGGTGATGATGATGACTCTTCACGGGTTCGATGTGGCAGCGTATGGATGACGGGGCATCGCAACCATCGTCGGTCTCCAAGTTCTCTTTACTATTGTTATTGTTGTTGTTACTACTGTTGTTGCGCGCGTCGCACGTTTTGTGGAGGATCCGTTGTCGCGTGATCGCGGCACGTGTTGCTTCTCGCGCGGTCGGCGTGATACTGGCCAGATTAGAGGGCGTCTCGGCGCCATGAGTGCCGGTGTGCCCTCTTCCCCCACTGGAATTACCGCCACCGCCGCCGCCGCTGCTGATGCTGCCACCCCCGCCGCCTGCACTACCACCTTGTCGTCTGCCCCTCTCCTCCTGCCGAATGATAACGCGACGTACTATAGTCGGCGTGTAGTACTACGATTCATGCACATTCTACCGTTAATGCGCCGGATATATATCAAACCGCGCCGCCACGTGAGTTAGGTACTAGAGAAAACGGAGTAATAATGGTTGAGCGCGATCAAAAGCGGACGATAGTCTCTCTCGTGTGTGCAAGAAAAATTACACAATGTCAAATAATTGAAAATAATTATTCGCTCCGAAATTTACGTCGTGTAATTTTTATATATCAATTTTCGGAGTAAAATTATTTTCCACGTGTGTATATATATATATTTTTTTTTTCATATAATTTCACATTGAAAATATTTTATAAAATTTGACGATACAATTGTCGGATAGCTTTCAGATCGCCTCTATGTCACTTAGTGATCATAACGGAATAACCGCGTTCTAACATCAATTTTTCAAGATACGAAACTTACCTGCGCCTTCTTAAAGTCGTCCTGCCGTCTCGACATCTCGACGTACTTGGGCGGCTCGACATGATACTTGGGCGGCGGTTCCACCGGTTTTGGCGGGGCTTCCTGATAACGCGGCGGCCTGTCGAACTGTCGATACTTGGGCGGATCAATGTATGGATTATTTCGATGGCCGCAGTAATTCGGCAGCTGGCACTCCGAGAGATCCGACTGCGAGCGATTCAGCTGACAATGATCCGACGCGTTCACCAACGCTTTTTGCTGCTCCTGGTGACTCTGCCTGCCGTGTTTCGCGACTTGCGACCTCTCCTGACCACCGGCGTGGGACTTGTCGTAGGACTTGGTCCCTTTCTCGGCCCGCTCCTTGCACGTCTCCGACTTCTCCTTCCTCTCCGGCAAGGCCGGCGGTCCGTCGATCTCGTAGAACGTCAGCTCTTTCTTCGGCTTCTGATGCGACTTGTCGTGTTGCCGCGGATTCTCCGCTTTCACAGGCGGATCTATCTGGTAGAACGTGAGCTCGCGAGGATCCTGGGACTTGGAGCGCGTCTCCTGATACAGATGATGCTGCCGTTCCGGCTGAGAGTGGCTGCGTGAGTATCGCTGATCGAGTCTCGAACCGTCCTGATACTTCGATCGCGCGAATTTATGCCCGTACTCGAGACACTCGCCGTACTTTAAGAACTGTCGCGGCTTGTACTTCTCCTCGAACTGCGAGTAATTGTACGTGTTGAAGCCGACTTGATTAAAGTTCCTGCTGAGATTCGAGGAATCGTAATTGGTCGATGTCACGGCTTCCATATTTATCTGGAACAGAATAAAGGGGAATAAAAATGTTGACGGTTTTGCTATTGTTATATTTTCTCTCCTCGGGCTTTTTATTACAGTACAATTTCAACGTTGCTTTATTCTTGAAATATATGCGGTTAACGATTGCGACATATTTCTCGACGAGATGCCGACGACGGGTAAACCACGAGACAAGCATCCGCGAAGAATTTACGTGAATCGCTCGACGAGCGGCTTCAAGAGAGACGAAGAGAGGCAAGAAGCTGAACTCGAGGCAGCCACGGCGGCCATAAATCGGGGAGGCCCGTCTTCTTAAACGCCGGAGTATTTAGCGCGAAACAAAAAGCCGCCGTGAGATAAATAAAATCTGACACCAGGAGGGCGTGCCGCCGCTATCCACCACATCGTGTCCTGAATAAAGCCTCGCTCGCACCAACGAAGAGCGACGAGAAAAGACAAAAATGATGCGCAAGAACCCCGCCGGAATAAACTGAGAGGGTTGAAGAAGGCTCGGAGATCGTGTCAAAAATCAAGTCGCGAAAACCGGTTCGCACCTCAAGACCTGAAAGCCGATCGGTACATGTGTATAGTCTGTCCCAGGAGTGTTCATGTTTCAGTTTTTGTTTTATTACTTTGAAAAGTTATTTTTTTAAATGATATTTAATTTAACTTAATGTTATCTCTTTAAATTAAACATCTTTGCAAACTTCTCTTGAGTTAAAATCCTGTAAAAAAAGTAAAGTTGATCTTAAATATGCGAAAGAGAGATGTCATTAATTTTTTCATCTTTATACGCTTATATAAAATTCTAGATTTTTATTTAAATATTGACACTCTGAGATTCCCGAGAGAAAATGATCCTAAATCGATGTGAATTCGTATATAAGATGAAACAAGTCGTGCGCGGAGAATCTAGGACCTGGGACACCCTGTATATACGCGGGATCACTTTCAAAACCGATGTATCCGAGATCACATGCGATCTCGCTTTCTTTCCATACGAGCCCCTATTCAGAACGCTGCGAGGCACGATGAACAACCGAGATGCCCGGACACGATTAAGTGGCGACTTCGCGAAAGTCAGCTCGCGAAGCTAAAGTAACGTCAACCTATCTCGTGCGCGTCGTGATAAGGAGAGAAACGTTCGATCCCGAAGATCCCAGATAATCGCGCGAATTAACGGGAAGAGAACGAACCGAGAAAATTATCGATCGCGGTATACGATCGTCTAATTCAGTTTCTCCGGGTCACCCGGTACGTGCTTCGGCACTTCGTAACTGCGAATCGGGAATGCCCCCGCGGGGCTGCAGTTATATATTACAGCTGGTAATGAAGACTCTCTCTCCGCGAGAGCAACGAGCTACCGACGAAGGCCTTGTTTATCGCCTCACCTCAAATATACAATTAACATGTTGAGAAAACGCCGAGAATATCACGTTATCTCCCTTTCTCTCTTCTCTCGTTTTCGCCTCGTCTCTTCTTTCTTCTCGCCAATTTCTTCAACCCCTTTTTCGACAAAGAAAATCCGAGACTGACTCGCGCACCTTTCACTTTTATTATCGTAGTGCTCGTTAGAGCGACCGTTCCAAGAATGTTAACCCGAAATTCGTCGCTGGAGAGACTTTAATGTCCCTCTATTTTTACGGAACTTTGCGCTTGTAATGCGAAAATGTGGCGACAGTGTCCGCGATAATCCTAATAGAGTATGACGTAATTAATATGCTCATTCTTCAATTTGTCTAGCGCTTAGTTCAGGACGTTATTATTATCTCGCAAAATGATAAACTTGATTTTCCACTAACTATTTTACACCTATTTTCATTCTTGACTGTATTTGGAGATATCCAACGCGAACTCGCTTTGTGTGTATATAATAATTTAGCGGCTATCTAATTATTTGGAAAATCAGATTTTGTTTAATTCATCTCCAATGTATTTATCCACAGAGATAAATCCGAGGCTTTATGTTTGCATATAGATAGCATGTAGATATACATGCATCAGGGATAAATACAGCTGCTGGGTAAACATTGCCGTTTTAAAATTTATAACAGATAAATATTCAAACGAATAAAACGTGCCATCGTATCAATAACAGTGAGTTTTGGGCTATCCATCTCGGTAGATTATTGGATTCTGCTTATCGTACAAATCCAATGACAGATAAAAAAAAATATGTACAACACCTCGAAATAAAATATCGTCGTCGGATATCGAATCAACTGTATATACAATTTCTCGAAACAATAAAAAATACTCGTTACTCGTTACTCCTGATGGAACGTTCTGAATAAATACGCGCGATGCACCGTGTTGACCTCGATGCAAGGATGCAATTTTTTTCGCCATTGATGCTGGATGACGTGTGGCATTATTAAATATCATTAAAGAGAAAACGTTGTTGGACTCGCGGGAAATCATATGATGAGGCTTGCACTCATGCCGAATAAATTTTATACTCATATACATTCGCGTAAAATCCTTGCATTGCTTCGATTTTGCTTTCATTAATTATTATAAAATCATATCACGCGCGATAATAAAATTATATATTTAAAATTTATTTCATGAATAAATATTTTGATATCCTAATACAATATTATTATTATGCAATCGATAATTAATTGCTAATCAAAATAATGTGACATTTGTCTCTTCTAATCAAACGATCAACTTTTGCATGTTTTAGTTCAACTATTTCTAAATGCCGAACCAATATTTCTAATATAAATACAAACTGATTTGTGCGACATAGTTTTTGCGGACATGCGACGTTCGCAAAATTGACAAATGCACTTCTCGTTCGTCTTCATCACTCATTTACGAGTGTAACAGATATGTTCCGATGGTAATGAAAGCGCAGAAAACGATCGCACGTTGCAGCCGCAAGCAATAACTCATTTCGTCGTATAATTTGGCAAGTCTAGGCCTCTTCGTAGGGTGTCGAAACTAATCGCGCAAGCATGGCTCGTCATAAATATTAATAGAATTTTTTTGGCAGGTTTTGCACATCGCGGAAGAAGATAATCATGTTGTTTACGCTGCCAATAACAAGCTCCGTCGTCGTCGGGTCTCACCGTATACGAGCGGAGTCCGTTTCGAAATGGGGCCCCATAATTACGGTTGCCGCTAAGATTATCCCGATGCAACCGGTGCCCTGTTACGAAGTGTCCGAAATAACCCCGTTTCTCATTAGATCGACGCGTGAAAATTATAGCAATCGAAGGTTAATCGAGCCAACATGTATATATTTTACGCGGGGAACCTTGTTAATGAAAAAATTACATCAAGTCTGGTGTTACGACGATAATAATTTAGACAGATGATTAAAGGCGTATTTCTGAAAAAATATTACGAACGTCATTTTATTGAACACGATATTTAATAGAGAAATACAATTTTTATTTAAATTTAAAAATGAAATATATTTTGAAATATTATTTTAATATTAATATTAAAATAACGTATACATACATTTTTTTGTCAAACATGATATTAATTAAATTTATTATATAATTTATAATAAATTTAATTAATATCATGTTTGACAAAAAATGTATGTATACATTATTTTATCAATAATTGAATAAAATACGTTATAAAATATGATGTTATTAATTTTTCCATAAAAACCTCCCCTTATTTAATAAATGTAAATAATAATAATATTGTATTATTTTGTATGTTCTGAATATATTTTATTCAATACGACGAATTGAAAACGTTGACCTACATACAAATCAACTTTTCAGAAATCAGCGATTCGGATTTTCATTTTCTTACTGACGCAAGTCTCGCCGGCTAGAAAACTACAACTGCATAAAGAAATTCAAGCCACGAGTGGCAATCTCTCCCTCTCTATCTCTGCAAATTTTGAAATTATTAATTTAACTGTTCCCCTTTAACGCTACTACGCCCGCGGCTAATATTTCTCTCAGAGACGAAGATGAGAGTGCGCAGGATAGAAGCTATTAAATAAAGGAGACAAAAGCACAAAAGGAAAAAGGTGGGGAGACCGAGAAAGAGAGAAAGAGAGAGAGACAGAAAGAAAGGAAGGGACTAAGGGCAGAGGACCTTTGGTTACCGTGTAAATGAGGCGATGAACAAAGTTCCGCGTACAAACATCAAATAAAGGTAGATAACGCGGTTAGTTTCGGCCATGTGGCTGCTCATGAAAATGCTGAATGACAAGCAAGAAAATCATAAGGGAAATTGATTTGTTTACGAAATCCTGAAACGGCCGAGATTTTTAAAATCCACTTCATCAACATAACGTTAATCTCACGCGCAGAGTTTATTATTATAATTTACAATATAAAATTAAACTATTTTTATTTCTCCCTTCACTCCGGTATTTTCGCAAAATTTAACATTCTGTGGCAGCTTAATTTTAACGAGAGCACAAACTGACCACTGTTGCTATACTTGGCAGTATGTTTTTTTTTTTTTTTTTTACGATTTTATTTAAGCTCCCGAAACATGGAGGTACGATGTTAAAGCTGGGTGTATTCAACAACAGCGTCAGCATGTAGCGACGTATATATCCAAATTGAGTGAGAGTTGGCCATAACGCCAGAGTGACGAGTATTATTCATAACTAACCGCAGCTGAAAAGTACACGACGATACTCGGTGTTATAACTGGATTTTCCATTTCCCCGGAGGGATATCAGGGACTGTATCCGATTTTCACGGCGGACTGATCTGTCTCAATGCTATCTGCCCCTCCATTGCGACCAATCAAATTAGAAACGCTCGGTTGAACGGCCGAATGAAAATCTTTGATCGTTTTGTCACTCGTATTTTGTTTCAACAACGTTTAGTGTTACGGCAAGGAACAATTGTGATTCAATGCGCCATTAGGTTTGCGTGAATGCATACATGGCACATAATTACGTATTATACTTCGTAATCATTTCAGCATCGATTTACTATTGTAACTATAAATGCAATTGCGAACGAATTTTTATTCGTTAGAAAATTTAATTTAAAAAAATGTTTTACAAATTACTATAAAAT